TGGCTGAAAAGGAGGCTTCAGTGTCCTCAAATTGAGATCCTAGGGGCTGCATGCAGTCCACACAATCTGCCCATTACCCACCTCAAGTCTACTGGAAAATGCTAGCGCAGGGGTAGGCAACCTAAGGCCCAAGGGCCGGATGCGGCCCCCCAAGGCCTTTGGACCGGCCCCAGACCGGTCCTGCCGCCGCCACTGCCCCCTGCCACTGCCGCCCGCCATGATGATATTGATTATTGTTGTTATTACTTGTTCTTGGGGTTTTCTTGGCAAAATCTCCACAGGGGTTTTGCCATGGCTTTTCTGGGACTGAGAGAGTGTGCACACATATTTCTTTTTATTTTTAAAATTTTATTTATTTATTTATTTATTTAGTTATTTTGGGTGCTTCGGCCCCCCAATTGTCTGAGGGACAGCAATCTGGCCCACGGCTCAAAAAGGTTGCCTACCCCTGTGCTAGCCTCTCAGCCCACTTGAATGAAACAGCCACATTTTCAAGGCCTTTAATTCACATTTAAAATGCTGTTTCCATGTGTCATGCCACATTCATAACATTGATAATCTCAAACAATGGTTGGGGAGCAAAAAGCATTGTTAGCTTGTCAGTCTTCTTTATGAAATTATCACAAGAGAGTAAAAATGATAATATTCTAGTCAAGTGTTCCTTGTAATACCCCTAATTTCCTGCTGGTTTTGTTTAGCAACAGTTAAATCTAACCAGAATTAGAAACCAAAAATCTCTCTGTCTCTGTTTTACACATACACACTTTTATGTTGACACTACTCTGACAGAGATCATTTTAGAATACCATTCCAGTTATAAATTAATGTTTAGTTTCCCTGGAACTGTGCAAATGAAAGACAGAACAACAAATGCCCATTCACCCAGTCCAGAGTCACTTACCTGTTTCAACACACTTCTCATCAATTTGCATGTCTTCTTCTGTACATTATAAAAACATGGAAGAAAGGTGGAAAAAAGTTAAGCTCTTAAGGCTATAAAGAACTTTACAAAATGTTAGAAACAATAACGATAATCTACCGCGACACCCAATTTCTATGATCTTTATTATTTCAGTGTTGCACCATTGGCCTTGTGTTATATAAGGTCTTCCTCTCTACTACAAAGAAAAACTGTCAAAAATGATCATTTAAGAAGTAGCTCAAGTTTCACCTGCACACACCTATAATCTAGGCCAGGACATTTCTCTCAGACATTCTTCTATGCACAAATAAAATTTTGTACAAAGGATCATTCAATCATGATTCTGTATCTAAAGTGATACAGCCAAGGCACAGATTCATCACCTCAGTGAGAATGAGGTTGGACAGATGTGTCAACGAAATTCAGACACCATTGCTTACCTTCTTCAACAGTACTCACTGTTCACAACAAATCCGCAGAGGAAATTAAAAAGAAAACAGTAAAGTTAAAGAGACTACCAGTGTAACTGCCAGAAAAATGCACATACAGACACATGCACAGAATATATAAAGATGGCCTTTAACAGATGAAAAATAGAGTAGTGTCATGGCTGAACACTTCTGTGGCTAGGTTAAAAAATACACCCAGAGATACTGCCAGCAAAATCTCTTACAAACAGGATCCAAGGCATTGTTCTGCTGACAAAATTGGATCTGTCAATGGAACCAGAAGAACTGACCATATTTCTTCTCTCTACATAACTTTGAAACCTGGGAACTTCTCCAGAGCTGGCTTTTGAGCAGTGTGGAGGGCTGAAGGACAGCAAAGAAGAAAGCCCTCTCATGCTAGCTGACATTGGATTCAGGCTGATATCTTCAAGACAGTTTAAGGTTTCAGGTATATATGTGCTGATTGCCATAAGTATGATCCAGACCATCCATTATAATTCCTTAGTGGCTTTGAGCAAAGGACGTAATGGATCCTGCTACAATTCATGCCCCAAGAGCAGAAGCAGGCATGTTCTGAGAGTACAGCCTATTTCTGAAGTGAGGGAAAGCCTGGGAAGAAGGTCCACAAATAAGCCTCACAGGACACAAGCAAACGTGGGCTGCATCATTTCCACTCTAGTCCTAGAGTGAAGATTATAAAACCAAATTTGAAAATCAAATGGCCATTTTGTCTAATCTGTGATATATAATTTATGATATAATTCAAGAAGCAATCCCACTGCTTGTACACAAGATATCATTATACTCACAGACAGTTGACTTGAGGCAAGTATGAGGTTGGAAAGGCTGAGACCACCAGAATTCCCGTTGTTTCCTAGACAGAAAAGAAGATAATGTTGTTAAAAAAACAGTGTAAAGGAATCTTCGTTAAACAAGGCATTC